AAGGTGGTGCAAAGCCTGAAGGTGGTGCAAACAAGATGACGACATTACAGACCTTGGCTGTGCTATGTGTAACATTGCAAAGGATACTTGGCTTATTCATGTATGTCCCTGGAAAATCAAAATCATGATCAATATTTGAGTAATAGGTGGATTAATATATATCATATAGATGGTGGTAAAAAAGAGAAGCTTGAGTACCGAGAATGTGGTATAAAGGTACCTAAGAATGAAAAAAAAAAGGTTAACAAGAGAAATAAATGAAGAAAAAGGAACAATACATATTTGAATAATAAAGTTCACAATATAAAAGTTCATCGGCTTGTGAATATAGAAAACGCAGATGCCAAGGATGAAAAGAAAACCTTCAAATATTATTAAAATTCAGCAGATATAGAACACACTGATAGAGTATATAATGTTAGATATTATTATCAAACTAAAATTAATAGTGACCAGAAAGGTGGTGATTTGAGTGGATATTGCTGCAGAAATAGATTCGAAGTTGAAAAGAATAAGAATAAGGCATTTGACTCTTGTTATTAATATAGAATTGCAATTGATAAAGACGAACATGAGACATTTGTTCATTACCAAAAATCTGAAGGGATGGTTCTCACTAGTGGAATATATAATCTGAGACATAGGCACCGAAATGAGAAAGTAGATCTGAAGAAAGGAATAAGAACAATGATAATACCTGATTTGAATAGGCAGAAAACTCTTGGTTGCGTTGGTGTAGTTGCTGATGTTGCTGAAACTATTGGTAGTTGCGTATGTGAAATATTTGATTACTAGAAGGTTGCTGGTGGTGATGATATCAATGTAGTGAATATTGACAAAAGTGAAGAAAATGATGTGATGGTTAGTCTAGCAAAGAATAATAAAATATATGAAATAAATGGTGGAGAACCTGAATACTCACCTGATCCAAATAATGAAAGGGCCCAAGAAAGTAGATTTGTTGGTGACCTTAATAACAAAGTCAGTGAAGATAAAATGATGGTGTTGATGAAAGCTCCATTGGGTGTAATAACGAAAATAGATACATTGATGAAAGGCTTTGTAAAAGCATTGAGGAAATAGAGAAATTTAAATAGTACTAAAGAGTTCATAGTTAATGATTATGAGATTAAAGCTACAGATGGTAAAATGTATGAAGAGCATTTAAGAAACATTGAATGTGACAACTTGAATGAACTACAGAACCTTGGATTCTGTTATGAAAATGGAATTGAGGATAAAACTGATGAATGTCAGGCATTTAGGTGAAATTTAAAATCTGATGAAGTGACCCAGAATCAGTTAAACGCAAAGTGAACATTGAATAGCATAATAATAATAAACAATTGAAGAAAGGGTTTAGCCAAGGCATGTGGAATAAGCCGACGAATGATCAAAATTCTTGGTGTTTTTGGGTTATGGGCTGAAAAAGAAGTGATAATCAGGTCATACCGTGTGGTGGTGAAAAGATCGACTTTCTTAAGCAGCTGTACTTGGATCATATAATCAGATATAATGGACTGGAAAACGCAATGTTTGGAAGCCATCTTGATATATATAAACTTGGAAGAATAGATATACAAATGTTGCAATCTCAAGGGCATTTGTAATAATAAGCATTAAGAATGAATTCTGTGATGCAAAAAAAAAAAATAAAATAAAATTTTTAGTATTAGTGTATGTGTTAGTAGAATAATGTATTTCATATTAGTTTAGTATTTGAATAGTATTAGGTTTGGTTGGGTATTTACAAATAGATAATGTGTATTAGAATATTATTTTGCAAGGGTTGAAACTTCAGGGACAAAGATCTTGGAGATCTAGCTCATATTAAGGTGAATTTTGGTATCCTGGGATTGGTTCGATTAAGATCAAGATCTGCATAAGTGGTGTGATTTGGGTTTGCATAAATGAATTTGCATAAATTAATTAAAAGCCTAATTTATTGATTGTCTAATGTGTGTAACCTGGATAAACATATATTCAGAGATTATCTTGTATTTAAATATAGCGATCTTTAATAGTAATAAAAATTAGGTTTTGCTTTAATAAAAATGTTATAAAGAATAAACTGTGTAGACGTCGTTGCTGAGGTGAAGAGGTGAAAGTACCTGGAATGTTAACCCCAAGCTGTGTGTATAGCCAAGTGAGTTGGAATTAGAAAGTAAAAGAAATAAAGACCCCATATACAGTAATTATCTTTGACAATGGTCTCAAGAAAATGACAGAATTGATTGGCAATCTATGAGGTTATACTTTAACTATAATCACAAATCTATCTATAATATTACAAACTTCAAACTTAATCAACTCAAATTATTTAAAATCAAAACTCTACTAAATGAATTACCTATTCACTTACTTCACCATACTCTTTATTCTACTATCTTTCAGAATACTAACTGTTTCTATTGTAGAACATTAGATTCTTCTTTACATTGGCTTAAATGTTCTAATTCAACACTACTTCAATATATAATTAATATCGGTATTAATAATTATATCAATTCTATTGAACTAGATTTGTTAGCAGACTAGAAGGCCAAACTTATCTACCAACTACAACATCATGAGGCATTTAATGCTATAGCAATACAGCCTTCATCACATTATTTAGACCTTACAATTAGAGGTTTAATTCCTAACTCTATAGTCCAAACTGTCTAAAATTTCTATATACCTTATAAACAAGCATCCCATATCATCACTGAATTATTATTAAAAGTTAATGAACAAATATATGAACAACTTTGAAAACTCTACTATATCAATTTCTCTATTTGAAAAAACAACAACAAATAATATATCTTTACTTCAAGCCAAAAGATTTATTATCAACTGTCAATAGGAAAAAATGCTATTGAATTAACTACAAATGCTTTTGCCAATATGGAACAGCAGACCAATTACATTCTCACTTAGGTACTTGCCCTTCTGTAGACCAAGCTAAAGGAAATCACTATTTGGTATAAACACTAAATTAAATATAGTATAACTTTAAACTTCATTTTAACTTTAAAAAATCTAGTTAAGTCTTTAACCACTTTAGTAAGTTTAGATTGCAGATAAATATGTCTAAGTTTCTATTCTTGCATGTAATTTTTGTTTTTATTTGTATTTATACAAATAGTAGTATTTCTATATGAGTATTAATTAATTGATTTGCAAATTTGTGTAATATGCAAATTAAAACAATTTATACAAAATAAAAATTAAATTCTTGCTTATAGTTAGAGTAAAGGTTGGTTTAAGACCGAGCTAAGCATAGTTTATACTAAAATTTACATAGAATTTTTTTGTTAAAATCTTAATGGTAGTTAATAATCAAAATTTTGAGATATTGGCTTGCTTTTCTATATATCTATAAACAAACACCTGTGTATAATTAGAAATTTCTAAAATATATATAAATAATAAGGAAAAATGTGTTTTCACTGCTAGTTACTATTACTGATCATGTGAATAATATATAATAACCAATCAAAATATAATATGATTATTATATAAATTGTTTTTTTTCTAAATACTTTGCACTACAAGATAAAGTTTAATGTAAATAATACAATAAAAGTTTAATGTAAATAACATAATAAAGTTTAATATAAAAGACTACAAGAATCGGGCAAAAAACTACCTCAAAAATCTCAGCAAAGACTACCACGGCAAAGAACTACGATAGAAATCTCTGCAAGGACTATTACAGTAAAGACTACAGCAAAAATATTGCAAAAATCATGACAAAAAGACCATGATATAAATAATACAAAAATTATAACTAAGATTACTCTTACAACAACTACTACTATAATCACAATAACACAATTGCAATTATAGCAACAATCATCTTCACAGTGGCAACTATAATTCAGCAGCAGCCACAATCACAGTAATGATTACAGTATTGCAATTACAGCAACAACCATCTTCACAGCACCAACTATAATCCTAGCAGTAGCCACAATCACAGTAATGACTACAGTAATCTAATAATGATAATAATTATCTTGTGTATAACTTTTGCTGCCTTTTATAGCATTGATGGTATTAACAGTTCTTAGATATGAATATTAATTAGTATTATAGTAATGATAGCTTATATAATGACATGTAATTAATATCTTTTTTATTTCATTAAGGGCTCAGGTGTTAAAACTAAAAGAAATCATAAGTCTTATAAGAGCGATTATAATAAAATGACACAACCAAGCAATAATGAAATAACAGTGCTTAATTATAATAATAAGTTGATGTTACTAAGTAATGATAGCAAAATAAATCAGCCTTATTATAATAGTTAAACTTAGCTAGTATAAGTGATAAAACACTGCCTAATAGAAATAATGGCAAAATAATATATCCTAATGATAATATATACTTAAGCCAAAATAATGAAATAACACTTGTAGAAAATTCGATTATTACAACTATGAAGTACTTTATTTATTTTATTTTATTGTTTTTCTGTTAACAAACCTTATTCTAAAATCTTTCTAAATTTGATTTTTACCTTCAATTATCTATTAAATTTTAGCTTTTCCCCTTCACAACAAATTATAGCTTACTCTTTGTTGGTCAAATCTTCAAAAAGTAGGATGATGCTGATAAATATCTCAGAAATATGCATAACAAAATAATTTTGTGGTTATTAAAATTAGAAATGATTAGAACTCTACACCAGAGCAAACTTGCAGGTGACATACTTATGCATGTGATCATCAGGGTACTTATGTGCTGAAGAAAACTGTAATTCTGGAAAACCAATGAAGTAGTAAATCAAAAAGATCTAGGTGCTCTTGGCATGTTAATTTAACTTTCTCAAAGAAAGCCAGAATAATTAGTATAACATCATTGAAAATTACTTATAATTATATACTCAATCCTAAAACTAATTTATATGCTACAAAAATTAAATATTATCTGAAGCTGTTATACAGAAAATCTGTTTTTATACTGTTGAAGAAATTTAAATACAACAATTCAATACAGACTTTTGTCTGCTAAGTTTCCTGATATTACAATATATCTCTGTGATTTACAAAACTTGATTCAAAAATATAAATTAGTTAATAGAGAAGAAAATGATATGCCAAAGCTTTTAAGATGGTTGCTTACAAAAAATTCTGAGAAACCTGGATTTGAGGTATTCTGAAAACTTCACTATTAACAAAGAGCTTAGACAAAGTATTTTGGATGTTTCCGAAACAAGTCCAATTATGGATTACCTATTATGATGTTATATTGAATAACAATATGCATAAAACAAACCAATTTGACATGCCACTTTCCTTGTTTATAGTGGTCGATAATCATTTCCATACTCACCTTGTTGCACAAGCTTTAGTAAACAATGAAACCAAAAAAACTTATAAATGAATCTTAACCTCTACTTTACAAGTGACAAATTATATACTGCAGATCTTTGTTACTAATACTGATTCAGAAATAGATGCTGCTATAGACAGTATATATAGTGATTCATTTCTACTTCACTGTATTTATTATATTTCACAAAATCTTATATGCAATCTTAAAGCTCCTCTTGATAATAATTATAATAAATTTGTAAAGATTTTTTTTTATGCTATAATGATCTTTCTCTTACTAAATTTGAAAGCTACTGATATAAACTTATTACTATGCATTCTAATGGGTCAATTACCTTAATTCCAAGCTTTATTCTACTAAAGAAAAGTGGGCTAAGATATATACTACTAAATTTTTTACTGCTGACATCTCATCCACATCACACATTGAAAGCAAGAACTTAGTAATCAAAAATGTACTTCAAAACTATCCTAGTCTTTATGAGTTAGCTATTATATTAGATCAGCAATTATATGATGAAGCATGATATATTAACTATAGTGAATAGTACTATGCTAATGCAAGTGCTCAGTTATGCAATGCTTCTGCTGAATGTTTTCCTAAAATCAATTGTATTTTCAAAGAATATCTTACTGAGAAGATACTTTCCTAACAAAAAACATGAAGTAAACAATTACTCTATTATCATACAATAATAGAAAGCAATGAATTGTCTGGTAACAAAACCTATTGAGGAAGAATATGATATGCAGCAAATT